AAAGGGAGAAATAATCAAAAGATTTACACCCTTTTTTGGTCCAAATTTCATTCTTTATGGTTTATTTTTTAAAAAAAGAAAAGAAAATCACTCATACAACTTCAAGAGGCAATCCTCAGACAACTAACTGGTATTTAATAAAAGATGAAAGCTTGTTTTCTATAGGTCCTGCTTATAGCAAGCTATGTTGTTGTTAGTTGCGAAGTCATGTCTGACCCATCGTGATCCCATGGACAACATTCCTCCAGGCCTTCTTGTCCTCTACCATCCTCTGGAGTCCATTTAAGCTCACGCCTACTGCTTCAGTGATTCCATCCAGCCACCTCATTCTCTGTCGTCCCCTTCTTCTTTTGCCCTCAATCTTTCCAGTGAGTCCTTCCTTCTCATTAGGTGGCCAAAATATTTGATTTTCATCTTGAGGATCTGGTCTTCTAAAGAGCGGTCAGGGTTGATCTCCTCTAGGAATGACTGGTTTGATCGCCTTGCAGTCCAAGGGACTCACAGGAGTCTTCTCCAGCACCATAGTTCAAAGGCCTCAATTCTTTGGTGCTCAGCCTTTCTTATGGTCCAACTATAGCAAGCTATAGGTGATAATAGAAAGGTTGGGATACTGATTTTGTTTAATGCAGATTCAAACCCAGTTATAACAATGACTGAACAGTCATGTTGTGATTTCAAAGTACAAGGGGTTGTGACAATAAGAAGGAAATTTATTTATAGATAATCCTTGATTTATAACCGCAACTGGGACAGGGATTTCTGTTGTAAGTCATTGCATTGATAAGTCAGAGGGGACCCGATTTTATGACAATTTTTATGGCAGTCATTAAACAAATCATGAGGGTGTTAAGCGAATCTAGTTTCCCCAATAGGTATTTTTTTGCTGAAAATCAGCAAAAAAGGTCTCAAATAACAATCACGTGACCCTAGAATGCAGGGACAGTCACAAATACGAGCTGGTTGCCAAGCACCCCAATTGTGATCATGTGATTGTGGGCGTGGATGAAATGCCATAAGTGCGAGTGCAAGTCATAAGTCACTTTTTTCCGAAGCCAACCTAGCTTAGAACCATTGTTAAATGAACAATTGTAATTTGAGGTCTCAACATTTTAAATTGCGAAGAAGGGTAGTGTAAAGCAGTCTGTTGCCTTGCAGCCAGAATAGCTTTTTGATGCTTTATGGTAGTGACACAATTGCCATTTTTTTTTTGGTTTGGCTAGTGTCATCGTGAAAATAATTTTCTGCGGTGAGCTGCTGCAGAGTCAGCATAACAGACGTTCTTGGATTTCAGTTATACTATTTGTACAATCTTAAGGGCTTCTTGTGACTTTTCCCATACAATAGCTCATATCTGCCCAGGTTTTTTTCTTGTCTTCATAGCAAATATGTTTATTTAAATGGAGGGAGATTTTGGCTGACTGTTTATACCTCTACGCTCTATTTCATAACCATTTTTATGTTGACTTTTTAAGCTTTAAAATCTGATAAAACCTGAGAAATGGCATGTTCCGGCTCCCATCTCTAAATTAATGACACTTTTGGGAACCAAATGTAGACATAGCTCTTGCCCTCTTGGCTAGCATTCCTCCAGAGCAATAGTTCTTAAACTGAGGTAATCTGGGCATATCCTGGGGTTAATATGGATCCATTTGTTTGCTTGATAGTCAAGGATGCAGTTTGGGAACTGCCACTTCCAAGATCCTTATATAAAGCAACATAGTTTGGGATCTTTTTTTTTTGAAGTGGGGGAGGTAATGGCATTAATCAAGACTAGGAAAAAAGGTCACTGAGTCCAGTAGTTTAAGAACCACTTCTCCAGAGGTTTGAGCAGTCCTGTCTCTGCTTTCTTTCAAGCAAGCTCTGAAAATTTAGCTGTTTCCTCAGGCCTTGAGACAGAGTGGGGTGTGTCTCCACCAAGGGATTGAGTTTGCATGCGATGTTAGCATTATGGCAATTCCTCTTGTTATGACCATCTTTTTTGGAGGGATTGTCCTGAATGTGATCAGTGAGATTTGGATGGCCCTAGAAATCTCAGTTAGACATTTTTAAAACTATAACAACTAGGCAGAAATTCTTAGTCACTCAAGCTTATGCCCTCCATTCTGTAGCAAATTTCCAACCAGGGCCACCATTCTTGGTGGGAAAACAAAGCAAAGCAAAATCAAAGTATATGAGGATTTCAGAAAAGCAAAAACATTTTAAACAGCTTGTAAACTTCCTTAAAATTTCCAGACCAAGATTAAAAATAAAGAGAGACCCTTAGCCTTGTAGACAACACAGGATCTCCTGAATGTACATTCAGCTACTGAATATAACAGGAAAAAAAAGGGGTGGGGGGAGAAACCTTGATCCTTAACTAAATAATTAATATTCTATACCATCTTTTCCCTTGAACATAGAGAGGAAGACTGGCAGTTTCTTATAACATTTCTAGGGAATTTAAAGGGCTTCTCCCAATAGGAAGTTCCTGTAGGGGAAGTTCCTGTAGGAGATAACCAGACTGAGACCGAGGGAGGGGTCAAATGTGTCATAAATCCTGAGCCCCTGTGTGCCCACAAGACATCTAAATTGAGCCCAACTTGAATGCCTCTCTTATCTCCCATGCATTTTTTTTAATGGTCAGTTGGCCAGATTCTTGTAGAAAGCTTAAGCTTGCAATAAATCTTTATACTTGAACTGCCCAAATCTCCTGACTTCCCCGGTACTTGACATTAATCTGACCAACTCACAGTCAAGGGAAATATGCGTGAGATAAGACAGGTATTCAAGGTGGAACTTAGATCTCTTGTGGGCGTGCAGGGACTTGTGATTTACAACACATTCGACCTCTCCCTTGGGCTCAGCCTGGTCATCTCCTACAGCTTAACTATGATTCCCACAGTGGTAATCATAGTCAGGACCATGGAATGTATATGGTTACAGCCAAATCAGATTTAATCTAGATCTTGAAGGACATTCTTTTGAGCAACCCTGGATTCTGACCTACAAGTTCCAGTTGTCATCATCTCTCACCTCCTTACTCATGAACTGAGAAGGTGATTTGGGGCATTAGTAGGGCTGTAGCTTTGAATAAAGTCATCATTTGATATTCTTGTAATGATATCGCTGTAAAATATGTTCTGTCTTGTTGTGTGTTGTAATGAATATTAAGTCTTCATACTGTAGTTAATGTGCTTTAAGGCTTGAGGTTTTTCTTAACACTCATTTTTCTGCTTGTTGGAATAGCAGGTTTTATAGTTGTGAAAAGTAAAGCGATGTGTGATTGATAAAATAAAACAAAGAAGATTCTCTTGAAAATAAAATTCTTCCTGAGACATAATTAATCTGTGAATATATAAGTAGGGGGTTGATTACAAAGTAATTAAAAGATCACCTTTACTTTCCTCTTTCCAGCTGCTACCTATCTATTTCTGTCTCTGCAGGTTTTCCCTAGTTCACTATTCTCTTTCGCTAAACTAACTTATCCCAGCCATGTGTCATCTTTGCGAAGCAGGATAATTGTTCTTCTGAATCATAGATCTTGCTTGTTGTCTTCTATACAGATAACATGATTAAGATGTGTTGTACTCTTAGATTTACTAGTCATAAAGTTAAGCAGGAAGGAATAATGGACATTTTCTTGTAACGAGCCAGGCCACAGCTTTAACCAAGTTAAGTCTTGGCTACATTTTCTGATTGGGCCTTGATAATACTATATTATTATTACTATATAGGGGTGTTTTCAGTGTTACACAGAGATGTTAAAGATTAAATCTAGTAGTTGTTTGGTATACCGAATAGGTGCTTGATCCCTGAACAACAAGCCTTTTTCATTTATTTGCAAATATTCTAAATCTTATGGACCAATTCTGTGAAAGCTTCCCATTATGCAGTTTGGACAAAGTTCTGTTTCTGAACAAAAGGCAGCAGTGGCCAAATCTCCAATGAATAGAATTGAAATCTCCAATGAACAGAAGCTTAACTTGGTGTCTACAGGATGGATGGGGTTTCAAGCATCATGTTGCTTCTTTTAATAACCATGTCCTCCAGATATGTTCGGGCAATGGTGAATCAATATTAAATTGAGTTCTTTGAGCACTCTCCTGTTTGAAATAGCTTCAGGACCAGGATTCATTGTCAAATCACTAGATACAAATAGGTTTCTTTATTGGAGAAGAAGAAGAGATTGTGGTAGAGATAGCCCTTGACTTCCAATCACAATGGGGACTGGGATTGCCATCATAAATTGATGCAATCGTAAAATGAGGTGTCAAATGACTGCAAGAACTTACAATGATAATCTTGGCAGTTTGTGGTCATTGAGAATTGTGGGTTAAGAGAATACCCATCCCAATCCAAACCATTCTGGGAGTGGTCTCTTCCAACCACAGACCTCAGTAAGGTAAGGGACTACCTCTAACTCTCCTTACCTGATTATCTATCCACTCACATCTCTGTCCCTTAGCCACCCTGCCCTGTCCTGCAATTGCTGTAACTACAAGCACAGGTCATAAGTCAATTTTTTCTGCACCATTGTAACTTTGAATAGTCAATGATCGTAAGTCAAGGACTACTTCTATATTTTAAATATTATAGCAACAAAACAGAAGCTATTCTTGCGGTAATGTTTAAAGTCTCTTTGGTTCCACAGATGTGCATCTTGATCACTGCAGTTTACGACAAGTATGTGATCCCCCCCCCCCCGCTCCCTAAGAAAATGGGATTTACGGATAGTTTACTGATAATGGCATTCAGGCTGAATCTCAAAGCTTGATCATGTATTGACAGAAATATGTAGTGGTTGGAATGTTGGACTTGTTTTCAAACTTCTTGTCTATGAGAATCAGGGTATGACTTTGGCCTACTCAATCAACTGTCAGCCAAACATAATTCACAGAATAAATATAACAAAAGTAGGTCAGCTTCATTTACTCCAGACCGGTCAGCAGTAGACTGGTTAATTCTCATTCTGTATCCATATTTTGTAAAAAGCTAACATCTTTTTCCTGTATCCAATACAGAAATACCAAGACATGGCAGAAAAAGCCAAAGAGAAGTTCTCTGCTACTGAAAAAGTCCAAGAGCAATTACTCCTTGAGAATTCACACCTTAAAGCTTTGTTGACGCAGACTCAGAAAGAACATAGATGTCTGCTAGCAGCTTGTGCACTGTTGTCTGGGGCACTGTATCCCCTCTACTGTCGATCCTGTGCCCTCTCGACCCAGAGGGATGTTCTTCAGGATCAGGTCAACACCTGTGACATGTTCAAGCATGAAATCAGGAGACTGGCCAGTGCATTGTGTGAAACTGAGGAGAGGAAGCAAAGCAACAGCAAGGTGAAGAAGAAAAGGCATTCCAGAAGCTGGATACACCTTTTCCGAAAAAGTGTTATTGCGGTGCTGGCTGTCCACAGGCTTCAGATTTTATGCAGCCAGTCATGCAGTTCCCTTTTTTCCTGGGTAGATGGTGTCAGAGAAGGCATAGGAATCCCTGTCTGCATTGGAGATTCCAAGGATGTGCATAATCTGTCAAGTAAGATAACAAGCGAATGTTTTATATATGTTGTGTCAAACTACATTTTTAGTACTTCAAATAACCATCCTACTAGGCAAAGGCAATGGGGTGGTGGTGGTGGAAGCAGATGCTTCACAATTTGAAGGGAGAAATTATGTTTAAAATGTCAAAACTAAATTTAGTAAGTGAATTAAATCAACTGAAATCTCCAGCGTTGGTGCTAAATGTACTGGAATGTTCATTACCGAATTGATAGTAAACTCGAGCTGAATTAAATTGCATTTGGATGAGATCACATGTTAAGTAAGAAACAACTATGATACTTGGGTTCAAATGTCACATTAAGCTATAAAGAAGGAAATCTTTTAATAGTAATTTTAATTTTATTAAAATTACTATTACAAGTACAGTTGTACTACAGTTACAAGTACAGTTAAAAAGGTGAACTAATAGAAGCCAAAAATAATAAAAGAAAAAATAGAAAGTGCAGAAAAGAAAAAATAGAAAAAAATAAAAATATAGTAAAGAAAAAAATATATATAGCAAAATGACTTTTCCCTTCATCACAAGTTGAAACAAATTTTAGTAATTTAAATCACCTTCTCTTAAAATACAATGAATTGTTTCTTTTTCCTACATGTTATCTCTTATCTGTAAAAAAAAAACACAAAACCTTAAAGGTTTGTTGTTTCAGTCCTGGTCATCAAACATCCTTGTGGTGAGATGGGCAGAAAACAAATTAAACAAACAACAAACAAAAGGTTACAGAAATGACATAACATATATTTTAACTTTGATCAAATAAACCAACCTTATATTCCTTCCTTTTACTTTTAACAATCTTTATCTGTAGTCCCTTCAAATAATGTCCTAGAACTTGACAAGTTTTTCCCCCCACAAAATTCTTCAGTGTTTTAACAAACCTCTTTTGTTAATCTAATGTAAAAAAAAATGTCCAGGTCACTCCTTTGGTGTTATATTCATATATCCTTTTTAATTATTGAGAGATCAGTTAGCTTCTTTTGTATGTCCAGTGTAGCAGCTTTTTCCATTTCATTCTTGTAGCCTATCATTTTTAAATCCACTTTCAAATCAATCTCAATCTTGTCAAGTAAAACTTGTTCCTCTTTTGTAACTGCTTTGAAACACAGCCTTCCTATAGAGGCAGACACTCTTAAAATTAACTTGTGGGTACATTGATCAAAAATGAACTTGCCTCTTCATTCATTTTATTTCATGTGAAGCTTTTAAAGTATATTCAAATTTATTACATTAAAATCAAAATTAAATGTGTTCAGTTCTGATTTCATACCAAGCTATAATGAATTGTGTAACTAATAATGTCTGTTGCTATAGAATGAAACAAATTTATTTTTTCCCCTCTCTTTTGTGATGCAGGACAACAAAAGGAGCAGATTCGCTGCCTTCAAGCATTCAGTTGGTTTACCAGTTGTGACCTTCTTACTGCAGTCCTTAGTTCTATGGCTGAGCTACAAGAAGTAATTAGCAAGGCAGGTAATGTCTGAGTTTCTTCATTGGTTTGGCCTTGATAAATCAATTCCTTTTTAAAAAACGGGAGGGGAGCAAACTGTTGATAGCATAGACTATTATTACCTAGAAATAAATGAACTGGCTATAATAGCAATAAGGCTTATATATCATTTCACAGTGCTTTACAGCCCTCTCTAAGCAGTTTACAGAGTCAGTCTCTTGCCCCCAACAATTTGGGTCCTCATTTTACCCACCTCAGAAGGATGGAAGGCTGAGTCAACCTTGAGCCTGGTGAGATTTGAACTGCTAAATTGCAGGCAGCAGAATAGCCTGCAGTACTGCACTCTAACCACTGCGCCACTGTGGCTCATAATTATAGTTGGATGTTCTTATGGGTATTTGGAAGAACCAGAATGGTCCAAATCAATGCAGAATTCTATCAGTCGCTACAAAGAGAAGATGAGTCTGGTTAATCAACTCATAACTTGATTCCTTTTTTCTTACTAGGCTAGGATATGTTTTCAGTTGTGACCACTGTAATTTAATTAAAGGGTTCTCAAACTGTCAATTAGGACTCCCTGAGCAGTTTTGACAACTTAGAGAAAGACACACATTTTTTTAAAAAATCACTCTCTCGCAGGAAGAATGAGAGCACTGCCAAAACTTGCTTGGAGTCTGCTTAGCCCACTGCCTAAGCAAGCCAGCTGCAGACTTGCCTACACAATGTGAGGGTCCATTTTGACAGAGTCCCTGCTTTGTTGGCGGAGGCAAAGCAGAGAGGCTTTCAAAACTCACTTTAGGCTCCGCCTATGCAGATGTGCAGTGGGCAAGGTATAGTATAACTACCACAGTGTCAAAAGATCCTTGACTTAAGCCCTTATTTCAGAGTTCATTTACAGAGTTCCTGCACTGACTTAAGTGATTGTCAGTACTGTCTTTTCAAATGCATTTTTAAAAATTGAAAAATAAGGAGCTGCAAGACAAGATGTGACTTACTTTAGAAATACAGATGGTTTTAATAAAAGAGCTGGGTAAAAAGCGTTGGTTCATGACTCTTCTCAACCACTTTGCACGTAATAGTAGTGGTGATAAACGCAATGAGAATAAGCGGTGCAAGAGTGTTCTATGTTTTGCTGGCAGTTAACATCTGAACACCTCTGTGCATTACAATTGGCAACTTTTAGAGGCAAATGCAGCAATGGAACTCATGACATCTTGTGCTCATCCACACATTCATTCTATGCTTATGCTCCATAAATGAATGTCTTATATAGCCAAACTTCAGGGAATTAAAAAGTATATGAAAAGCAGATACAGGTAATTCTTGACATACAACAGTTCGTTTAGTGACAGTTCAGAGTTACAAAGGCACTGAAAAAATTGACTCGTGACCATTTTTCATACTTAACAACCGTTGCCTCATCCCCATGGTGACGTGATTTACATTCGGATGCCAGACAACTGACTCATACTTACCACAGTTGCAATGTCCTGGGGTCATGTGATCCCCTTTTGCAACCTTCTGGCAAGCAAAGCTATTGGGAAAGCCAGATTCACTTAACAACTATGTTACTAACTTAACAGCTGCAATGTTTCGCTTAACAAATGTGGCAAGAAAAGTCGTAAAATGGGGTAAAACTCACTTAACAAATTTCTCACTTAGCAACATAAACATTGGGCCAGGGGTGGATTCTAAATTTTTTTTACTACTTCTGTGGGTGTGGTTTATTTTGTGGGTGTGGCTTATTTTGTGGGTGTAGCTTGATGGTCATGTGACAATTATTTAAGATTTAGCAGAGGTACTAATCTACCAGGCTTTTAACTGCTTGCAGAGCTGTACCGATCTACCCATTTATTTTTGCAGGCACTGATCTACTCATGTATTTCTGCAGGCACTGATCTACTCATGTATTTTTGCAGGCACTGATCTACTCATTTATTTTTGCAGACACTGATCTACTCATGTATTTCTGCAGGCGCTGATCTACTCATGCATTTCTGCAGGCACTGATCTACTCATGTATTTTTGCAGGCACCGGTCTACTCATTTGTTTTCTTTTAACACTGATCAGCTGTAGGGCGGCCCTTTGACGTCCTGTGGCAAGAGTTTAAACAGTTTTTTTCCCTCTAGCCATCAGCTGGGACTCAGGAGGCAGCAATAGATTGCGGGTAGGGCCAAATAAAAGATAAGAATAACGCAGGGGGTGGGTAGGGGGGCGGGGGGGGAGAAAACTGGTTCGGTGATGTCATATCGTCACCGCTACCGATTCAGCAGAACTGGGCCGAACCGGGAGGAACCCACCACTGCATTGGACTCAATTGTGATTGTAAATTGAGGACTACCTGTACCGCATACGCCAGTTAAAAATTCCAGCAATAAGGGCCATGGCATACTATAAATGTTGAACATCTAGCAACATCTCCAGAATGTCTTGTTTGTGCCAAAGACTGATGCCTGCGGACTGGGTGTTGTGGCTCAGAGGCTGCTGACCAATATTCACATATATTATTCTGTGTAGAACTCTTTCTGCCCACATGGGCCTGTTTTTTTCATTTCTCCCCTTGAAGCCATGTTTTAGGTGACTATGATCTTACCGCTTAAGAAATGTTGTGTCTTGCCATGCCTGTGCAAGGTGAAAAATATTTACACTTTGCACCAGCTCTGTTTGGTCAGAGTGCATTTCTTAATCAGCTTGGGGGTAGAGGGGATTGCAGTTTGTTCAAACATAGTTGGTCAAGCAAAGATGAATTCCACTGAGGGCTCCAGATGGCACATCTTCAAAACCATCTTCAACGAGGCAAGGAGCTTTATCTTAAGTTAAAACGTACAACAACTCATGATTTGAAGAACGCTGCAAGTAGTTTCATGCGGCAAAGGGTACTTGAGTCTTGCTTTGAAACCTCAGCCAACTTTGTTTGACCACAGCTTTTGGAAACTGAGAGTGGTTTCAAACTAGCTAGATAGGATATTGAGGTCTGCTGTTCAAAGACACATATAAACATACAATCCCACTGGGCACGTCGCGCAACCTCTAGAGTGCACGTAAAGTAGCTTTTTGGAAGCAGGCCACGAAATTTATTCTTACACGAGGGCTATTTTTTAACACTAGACTCAAGTTTACAGGGAAGCCAACGTTACGTTGATTTGACAGAGCGATTGTGAATATTTGCAGGTTGAAATTTCAAAGGTCCACGATCTTTTTTGGCATGTAAATATCAGGAAGGAATTTTCTCCTCCTCCTCCTCCTCCTTCTCCTTTGTGAAGAAGAAAAATGCATGCCATTCTCCCGTCACCCGAGTAATATTTGTCACTTTTCATTGGGTTTTGCTTCACTTGCTTCATTTGTTTGTTGCTCTTTGTACTGTAACTGTTTGTATAAGACATTTCTCACACACTCATCATAACATAAATTATTTAGTGCTTTTACTGTAATTCCTAGATATTTGTGGCCAGGTACTTAAAGTGTATATATTCTTTTCCCTCTGGTTATAGATACACCAGAATACAGTACCTTCTGGAATTGTGTTCTATTCTCATTTCACCTCTCAAAACCATGAATGATTCTAACTCATACATTTCTTTGTTTTAGTCAAAACCATTATTCATTAAAAATTAACTAGAGGTGATGCTTTGCTTTTAGATAGTATATGCTTTTCTGTCCTAGATAAGTTTTCTTTTTTCCCGTCTCTTTTTAACCCTCCAAATCCGTCAAGCGAGCCTTCAATACAACATTGTTCTGACACTAACCTGAAAATTGTGTTTATCACAGTCTGAACCTAATTTTAAATGGAATGATACGGTTAAGTACTATGATATTTCAATCTGTGTGATTCTAGTGTTTGACCAGATTACAATTTTATTTAAAACTCTTGCCAAAAGAAGATGAAAAAAATATTTAAAACATTATCACATTTTATTATTTAATTCAATCCATTTCCCAGTCTCTGATTCCATACAATGGCTAGAAAAGCTAAGAATTTTACATAACTGTTTTGACATGTCTAGTTGGTATTTAAGGTCAGATTCCAGCAGTTGGTGCTTTCCAGATGTGTTTGGAGCATATTTTTCAGAATTCTAGAAGTTTCCAGAGTAGTCTGAAAAAAGTAAGCTTATGCACTCAGAAAAGAATCTTGTCACCTAGGCCACCATTTCTGAAAACAATATGACTTTTTAAAACCAATTCATAATGAAAGATGAATGGTCCATAAATCAAAGAAGATTTCTCCAACAAATAAATGAATAGATGAATCCATCCATCCCTCTGAGAAAGCCAGCAAGAAAACTTTGGGTCTCTGCCAAGGTGACATGTAATTGGTATATATAAACAAGTTTTATTCATACTAGGATTAAAAAAAAGAAAAGAATGCTGCACTTATTATTTCATAGAAAATAAATTGATTTAGCAGCACCTACTTTATTCAGATGTTACCAGATCTGTTTCCATCTGGTAACAGATGGAAAGAATTTTCTGGAAGTCTTATTTGTATTTCATTTTACCTCGAAAATGGAAATCCCTTTATTTTCATTCTTAGCAGTGTGTGTATATATGAGAGTATATGCCCGCAGGAAGCTGGCTTGCTCTGAAAATATGCCTTGAGAGGCTTTCTATTTTAAACTTTAGAACAAATATTTTAATTCTCTACAGCAACAAGAGATCTGGTATTCTCCTGAATGAATATAAGCTCTGCCATGGTTGTCATCTTACCCTGATAATATCACAAGACAAGTAATGACAGATTAAGACCTGACTTGCAGAGGGGAAACTAAATTACAAGACTTTTATTAAGGCATAAATAAACCTATTAACCATTATCTAGAATACCAATTAGTAGAAGGAGCACTGACAATTTTATTTATCAACATTAAACACAATTATTAATTACAGACCTGACGAATCTACCAGTAAGCAGAACATGTTGGGTGTGCTGGAGGCTTAAGCCCATTATATGAGAAGGCTGATTACCAGAATCCTATGGGGAAATAAGTAATTGTAGTTGTAAAATTTTAATTGCCTTGGAATAAGGTAAATTATATTCTCTTGTCTTAGAATATAAATAGTATGGCATTAAGGTACAAGCCTCAGTAGTTTTAAGCAGCACATGATTTAGACATCCAAGCTATAAGAAACACGAAAAAGAAACTGTTATATTTGTAGCAGTTAGCTTATTTTCTGTTTTGAATTAGTAAATTCATTGATGGTGATAAGCAGCTTTGAGTCTGTTTCTCTGGGAAGTCTTAGGTGTCATATATTGTTACCGTTGGACTAATGAAAGAACAAAAATGCCGCAGGGTTGGGTAAGAGCATACAGTTGTTTCAACCAATCCATTGTTTCTCTTGAACCAATGCCTGTTATCTTCTATCTGTGAAGCTGGACCAAAAAAAAATCTTTCTCACCAACAGCATTATCTTGTTGCAGATTGCTTACTGGTCAAGGTGATATAGCGAATCTCCTATTCCAAGAATATTTGCATCACACCTTTTAAGAGGTTTATTTAGAAAATTACATTAGGCCTTTTCTAAAAATCAAACGAAGTTTCATGAAAAATATTCTGCATGGTTTTGATTGTAGACTGAATTGCTTGAAACCTCTTCGCTAAAAGAGGTTTTGTGAAGTCAGCTATAGGGTAAACAATGATGCTTTCTTTTTTCAGTAGAAATTTTTGAGTAGCTCTTAATCAGCTTTCAGTGCAATTGCTTAGAATGGGAACTTTAAGAAGACTCTACCCTATGCAGGAATTTGTCATCAATTATTACTTCCATCAGATATTTCCAACCCTTTTTTTTATATATCCACAGATACAAACCAACTGTATTTACAGACTGGTTCTTTTTCTTTCAAAGATATGAAATCCTGGCTTTCGGGACACTTGCTCACCAATGCAGCCAAAAATTCATTTTCAAAACTTATGGAGAAACTTTGCGTCGTGATGGAAGTTGCTCCAGTGGACAGCAGCCGGAGTATGACTTATGTAGAGAAAGACTCCTTGGTTCAGAGACTGGCTCGTGGGCTCCATAAAATAAACGCACAGACCCTCGAAGCTGGCATAACTGACAGGACCCCTGCTATGGTTGGTATGATCAGTTACATTTTGGAAGCTTTCCCATTGTGTAGGATTTCGAGATGTTAATCCTTTCTTAGTTTACTCATCAGACTGCTCTAAAGGGAAAATTGAGGAGGTGCAGGAAAAGAGGCAATATTTTTCAGGCTTTCCCTCAATTTGATATTATTTCAGTAATTCTTTCCCAAAACCTTTTAGCATCCTTTCTGTCATTTGCTGCTCAAGGCAATGTGCAGTGTTCTTTTAAAATACCCCTGTAAGGTAATGGATGATTTTAATTTCAAAAACCCTGTGATTACCCACTGCATATTCAGGATGCATGCTGTTACCAAAGACATTTCCCCCAAAAAATACAGTAACTACTCTTCATGCTTATTTTCATTTTCAGAAAATACCTTCTCTGTGTGTGTGTGTGTATGTGTATGTATATGTGTATATATATATATTGCTTTGAGAATACTTTACACTTTGGGTGAATTTAGAAAAGGAGAGCTTCGTCTTAATTTGTTTATTTTCTAGCTAACATATGTTCCTGTTTTTTTTTAATACCAGAAAACCATAGCGTCCTTGCAGAAACAGATATTTGAATTTACACAAAGGCTGCACACAGCAGAAGTAGAACGACGGTCATTGCGCTTGGAGCTCACGGAATTCAAACGGAATTTGAATGAGATGAAGAAAGAGGCTGACAAAGCTCATAGTTTGCAAGAGCAATTATATGTGTTTAAGCAATCTGTAAGTCTATTTGATTAGGAGGAAGGAGGGAATAATCAGCTTTAAAGGAGGGGATTCTCTTTAGCATCCTTTAAATATCCATTGAAGAACCTTTACATTCTTAGGTGGGATTCTTCATTCTTGCTTCCCCTAACACATGCACAAAACCCCTCTCTATGTCTTATAAATTCTCAGCTGGGAGTCAGCTCTATTAAAAGAAAAGGCCAAAGACACTCCTGGTACAATTAGTCCGTTACGTTGCAGAATAAGGTAGATTGAGTCAATAATCTATTCAGAAAAGCAGAATTCTTGGTCTGTTAAATTAGGCTGTTTGCGCTGTGGGAGAACTGGAATTTGAAAACTCAAATGGTGTATGGACAACATCACTCTTACTGTTTTTATATACATTCTACTTGTGTCGCACGCTGCATTTTGCTAATGGTTGGCAAAACTGTCGAACAAAGCAAGCCTTTTGTACATGCTGCAAAAGATCTGCATTTCTGCCAGGTCTACATTAGATTGAACAGGTGATCTAACAGGAATTATTACCTGGCAGCTGTACAGAAGGCAGTTTATTTGCAGATGGGCAGTATTTGCTACTGCTTCATGTGACTGAAGGCGATCACCATTCGCGAAGACCCGCCTGTTGTCACATACAGTAGCTTGGATTTCTGAAGGCTTTTCCTTTACATATCAACATTGCTTGAGTCCAGGACCTCTGTTAAAGGCCACATGTCTTCTAGAAATAGTCTGAGTTCCTGGGAAAGGAAGAATTAACTTTGACAATACTAAAAAGGGATAGAGTATATATGGAATAGCCTTGGAACATCCCTACCTATTGATTTTAAAAAGGGGCAATGATGGTCCTTAAAAAAGGGCAGGTTTTCCTGATTATATTAATAAAGGAAGCAAATAAGGTAGCGCTCCCGTAATCCCTGCTTCTCTGTTCCTTGATGTAGACTGTCTTGAAAGGCTGACGCTAATGTGGTTTGCTTGGGATTTGTCCGTTCCTTTTTATCTGCAGTTGGTACAAATGTAAACACCTCTCCCAGCAGAAGATGGAGATAGGAAAGTTCCATTTTATAAAATAAACTTAGAGCCCCAGTAAAACTGTAGTTTGATGTCTAGCTGTAGTCCTGATGTCTAGCAGGTAGTTCTCGACTTAAAACAGTTCATTTAGTGACCGTTCAAAGTTACAACTGCACTGAAAAAAGTAACTTACGACCATTTTTCACACTTACAACCTTTGTAGCATCCCCATGTTTGGCAAGTGATTCATACTTAAAATTGTTGCAATGTCCCAAGGTCATGTGATCACCTTTTGCAAATTTTTGACAAGCAAAATCAAAATCAGGAGCCTGAGTGGCGTAGGAGGCTAATGCCTCCTAAGGCAGCATTTAACATCCAGCTGCCTGCAATTACTGCGAGTTCAATTGTCCCCAGGCTCAAGGTCGACTCAGCCTTCCATCCTTTCTAAGGTGGGTAAATTGAGGACCCAGTTTGTGGGGGCAATAAGCTGACTTTGTATAAATATACAAAAATATGAAGGCTATTGCTTATTGCTTAATGCATTGTAAGCTGCCCTGAGTCTCCGGAGAAGGGCGGCATATAAATCAAATTAAAAAAAAAAAAGCCAAATTCACTTAACAGCCGTGTTACTAACTTATCAACTGCAGTGATTCGCTTAACAGTTGCGCAAGAAAGGTTGTAAAATGGGGCAAAACTCCCTTAACAAATGTCTCACTTAACAACCAAACTTTTGGCCTCAATTGTGGTCACAAGTCAAGGACTACCTGTATTAGGTAGAGAGACAAAATTTAAACTGTTATTTATTTCATTTTGTCTTGCAACATGTAAATTTGACAAGAATGGATAAATAAGGACTAGGGTTCTATAGGTTGATAGCCAGTTTGTCCAAAACATTTTAGGCAGTGCCAAATAAGACATTAGATGAAGTCTGGTTGACTCTAATTAAACACATGGAGCAATATGGAAATTCTGTTCAAATTAACTCCTTTTGTAGAATAATACCCTGTTTCCCCTAAAATAAGACATCCCCTGATAATAAGCCCAATCGGGCTTTTGAGCGCATGGCAATAAGACCAAGCGCTTATTTCAGGGTTCAAAAAACTATAAGACAGAGTCTTATTTTGGGGAAACACGGTAGTAATAATGATAATAATGATGATGATGATTATAATAATGATAAGATGATGATGATGATGATGATGATAATAATAATAGTATATTTCATCGTATATTTTAAGAAGATACTTGGTTGATACCTAGGATGCTGGCAGCAAGCTGTATCAACCATTAGTATCAGTCAGTGGTATTTGTGATACATTTTAAATGTCCAGTTGACTGAGTTTCATGTTTAATGAATAAAATAATAATAATTTTATATATATATATATATATATATATATATATATATATATATATATATATATTAATATAACATCTTTCTTGGGATAATTTGAAAGAAAAGCTTTCTTGATGCCTGCTTCTGCTTCAGCTTTTTGAGAAATCTTACAAATAAAAATCACCTGGCATTAACATTATCTAATGGCCCTGGCTTGGAGAGGAGAGCCTCTAGGGCAAATATATTGAGCGTTTTAAAACTTTTACATTAGAATGTTGCATATTGGCAAGTGGGATACTGAAAATCAAGTGTATAAACAATGCTGCTGCTTCATGACAGAACACAATTTATTTCCTTTATCAGAAATTGATCACCCACGAGAGGTTTGAAAGTGCATGTGAAGAACTAAATAATGCATTACTCCGGGAGCAGCAGGCCCAAATGCTTTTGAAGGAACAGGCGCAGCAGCTCCAGGACTTGCAATTTAAACTGGAATTGCATTCTTCAGAAGAGGCAGACAAAAACCAAACTCTCAGCGATGCCGTAAAGGTAGGATGGTATTTCTTCAAAAGTAAAAAAAAAATAAACAAAATAAGAATAAAAACCCGATGTTCACCTGAAAGCAACGTTTAGGTTTTTAGGACCATAGAAGCAATGTAAAGTGCAGCCACTCAGAGCTAAACAGAGAGCTGAAGTAGAAAACCCACTTGGATAGAAAGAGAAAAACAGTCCATGTTGAGAGGAGAGTGGAGGGCAACCTTTGTCGTAAAATTAAATAAAGTATAAAAACTGAGTCTGGGTTTGTTGTTGAGAAAGCAAAAGGACAGAGGTCCTGTCCATTCCCTCTGGCCCCGGCCTATTGAATTTAAAATGCATGTAGTAATTTATTTCATCCGCCTGACATCTTTCAAAGAATTAGTCTGGATAGAAGGGAAGTTGTTCATAACCAGAGAGGAGAGAGCTCATATTCTTGTGGTCAGCTCCTGATCCCTGGGCCATGGTTATTTTTCTTTGTTTGTTCTGCAGAAGGCCAAGGAGGCAGTTAATTGGCCAGTTGCTCTACAAATTTGCAGTATTTATTACATATGCATGTTTCCCTCTGGGGAACTGGGCGAGCTATGTAATCAGCACATATTCCTATATAACTCTGCTGTTCTACTTACTACTTCCTGAAAAAGAAGATGTAACGGGTTTTCCTTTAGAGGTGGGGGCCTATGGTGGCTTTATTGCTGCAGCTCTTTTTCTCTTATCAAGAAGGAAAAAGGGGGGTGGGTGGGAAGGAAATAAGGCTACTTGTATTGCTCAAACAGCTCAATATTGTAAGATACAGGTAGTCCTTGACTTATGGCCAGAATTGAGTCCAAAATTTCTGTGGCTAAGTGAGAAATTTGTTAAGTGCATTCCTTCCCCCCTCCCCCCCCCCATTTTACGCACCTTTCTTGCCAAATTTGTTAAGTGAATCACTGCAGCTGTTAAATTAGTAAACCTGTTGTTAGGTGAATCCAGCTTTCCCCTTGACTTTACTTGTGAGCAGGAGATCACAAAAGGAGATCACATGACCCCCGGGACGCTGCAACCATCATAAACATGAACCGGTTGTCAAGCATCCGAATGCAAATCATGTGACCACGGGGTCATAAATGTGAAAATCACGTGATCGTTGCAACAGTCATAAATGTGAAAAGTGCTCATAAGTCACTTTTTTCAGTGCTGATGCAACTTCGGACGGTCACTAAGTGAAGTTGTGTAACTCGAGGGCTACCTGTACTTTCATTCCAGGATTGCCAGCATCTCTTTGCAAGACTTCTGCTTGGAAATAAAATCGATGTCTACAGAATGGCAAACTAGTTTCCTGACAAAAGTGGGAACACCTCCCCCCCTCCTCTCCAAATTATCTTTGAATGGCCACCCTGTTAAAGTAGACAGTGAGACAGAACCAAGAAGTAGATGAGGCCCTGCGAAAAATGAAATGCCGTTTATCGAAATAAGGGTGAGGGTGAGGGAAAACAGAGTTGATTAAATTAAATTTTAATTAAAGTTAAGCTAATTAGATACAGCTAATGAAGTTAATCTCTTAATAATTTGAGACTTTCCCCCTTCTGTTACTTTATCCTGATTACCCTTCCAAGTTTCAACAGGGTGTCAAATGTTGATGCACCTGGGCAGATCACCAGAGGAGATTAATCGTACTTGGATATTAAAATTAGTGTTTTCAAGAATTGGATAGTAAAATTAGAGTTCAAGAATGTAAACAGATGTTGTTGTTTTTTTAAAAAATCTCAGTATAACCAGGTTCAGTGAATAACACAACAAAGATTATAGCAGATGGTTCGCAAGTGTTTGTTCACCATGGACCGACCTCCTTTAAATACCTTTTGTGGCCACGAACCATGGCCAGGGACCACCAAAACTTAACTCAAGATTTAAATCATAATATTTCTTCAAGTCTTTGTGGATGCCCTGTGACCATATTGCAGCAAGGGTCCACGGACCACAGGTTAAAAACTACTGGATTACAGGTAGTCCTCCACTTACAACGGTTTGTTTAGTGACCATTCAAAGTTACAACGTCACTGAAAAAAAGTGACTTATGACCGTCTTTCACACTTACAACCATTGAAGTATCCCCATGGTCACATGATCAAAATTCAGATGCTTGGAAAGTGATTCAGATCTCGGAGATATGAGATCACTTTTTGTGACCTTCTGACAAGCAAAATCAATGGGGAAGCCCATTAAGATTCACTTAACGGCTGTCTTACTAACTTAACATCTGCCGTGATTCGCTTAACAACTGTGGCAAGAAAGCTCGTAAAATGGGGCAAAACTCACTTAACAAATGTCTCACTTAGCAACATATATTTTTGGCTCAATTGTAGTCATAAGTCGAAGACTACCTGTATAGTATTTTTCTATGTAAAGCAGAATGTAAATAAATAAAGAATAATTAGGAATAACATTTAAACTTTATCCAGTTTTTTTCTAGAAAAACAAACTGAATAGTAAACTTCTTCACAAAGATGACAACTAATTATAGAAGCACATACCCCAACTGATGTATAAAATGTACTGATTCATAAAACAGTGTTTATAGGAAAAAATAAAACTTGTTTATTTAGTTTATTTATTCATCGAGTTTGAAAACCTGTAGTTTTTAAGAACCTTTAATATTAATGATTATAAAGGCATCAAAGAATAAAGTTGATAATTATATACTATATACTTTTGTTTGTAAGATATATAACATGTATTACTAAGTAGACAATATACATAATTTTGTTATTTTCATCCAGTAGGTTTAAAAACTCAGTTGATTAATTTTGCAGCTTTATCGGTTTTAATTATAATCCCATATTTTTTTATCTGCCCAATGGTATATCCCATAGAGACAGGCATGCTTGCCAATTATATTTCAAGGTCAGTCAGAGCTAAGCATAGTTCTTAGATTATTTCTTATAATCTAAGGCAAGGAAAGATAGTAGCCTAGCTTTCTCATTTTGCAACAAAAATTTATGCTTACAACAGCAAGAATATATACTGTTTTGTACAATAAAACTATCTGGTAATTTCAAACAATAAAACATACTGTTTGAAACATTTTCTATGTCCACAAATACTAGAAACACCTAAGGTTTTTTGCTGTTTTTTTAAAAAAAACATGTGGTCCTTCATCTTCTCTAAAATGTATGGCTGAAAATATTTCATGAGAGAATTTTTGGTAAGTTTTATATATTGATCTTAAGCATATATCATCCATGCAGACACTCAAGGCACATAGTCATAAAAATAGCAGATGCATACATCACTATTACAAATCAAACAGCAAATAGCAACATTCAAAGTCAGGAGTGGCCCAGCCAGACTAAATCACGATAAGAGAACTGACAAGTTACCCAATGAAAAGTATCCTGAAATGACAGTGTCTTCACTTTAAGTCAACTTGGTGGATATTTGGGGACAAAGAATTCCACAAAAGAGAGTTGAAACAATCTTTGATACGGTAGATAGTCCTCAACTTACCATTGTTCACTTAATTATAGTTTGAATTAAGTGCATGTAAAGCACTTCTGACTATCAGAAAAAGTTGCCTCCATGGAAAGTTGCAAGCTGCTGCTGCCTGCTGAAATAACTCCTTGTTTCTTGGGGATGATCGAAAGAGCTCCCTGCTAAAGGATCTCTGTGCCTGCTTGCATGGAGCTGAAATCCTTCATGCCTGCCTGCACAAAGCTGAAATCCTTTGTGCCTGCTTGCACAGAGCTGAAATTCTTTGGCAGGTCCCTTTTGTTTCTGAGGGCTAGGTGAAAGAGCTCTCTGCTGAAGGATTTCAGCTCTGTGCAAGCAGGCACGGAGCTGAAATCCTTCAGCAGGGAGCTTTTTCAGCCAAGAATGAGAAGGAGTTGAAAGAATTTTTAGCCCCAGAGCGGATAGACAGTGCGTGCGGTAAGGTAAGGAGTGCAGGGTGCCTTGGGGTGGGGAAAGCTTGGCATAGGTGACATATGAGCCTTACCCCACTTGGGTTGAAAACAAACAAACCCTGAATCGCTTTCCAGGTGGAGTCCATTTGTCTCTCCCAGAATACCCAGTCAGTATTATAAGCAGTTGTATTGTCTGGATGCTTCCGGAGACTGCCAGGTTGGAAAAATGGTTTCTGCCCATCACAATTAGAATTTATACTTTACATTATAATCTACAGCATGGGGCTGTCAAACTTGCACCGTCACGTTGCCATCACATGACATATTGTGACGTTTTCCCCCTTCACGGAGCTGGGGTGGGCGTGGTTTGCACGTGACACATCCGGCCTGCGGGCTGCCAGTTTGACACCCCTAATCTACAGGATCACCTGCTCCATTACAATCTAGAAGAGGAGTGAGAAGGCAATATTAAATTGCAACTCTCACCATCCTCAGTGTCAGCCCTTTGGGGTAATCCAAGCAAGAAACACAAATTATGAATACTAACATTACTTTTATTATAAGCAGTGGTGGGTTGCTACGGGTTGCCCTGGTTCGGGCAAACCGGTAGTAGCGGCGGTGGGAGGCTCTGCCGACCCGCCTGGATGTCATCAAATATGCTCTGCGCATGCGCGAGTGAACTGGTAGCAAAGGTAAGTGAAACCCACCACTGATTATAAGGATACATTAACAGAATCTTGCAAGTCTGAAACTACCTCTCTTTGCCCTCACCCTTACTTCCAATAAATTAGGGAAGGTCCTTTCTGAGGTATTTGCCATGTCCCCGTTGCTTCTGTGAACTAAATTGCCTCATATCTGACTCTTGCCTAGTCTGCAGTCTCCTCCTCCTGTCTCTCAAAGACATTCTCATAGATGTTTACACTCAGCCAATATGGCCAATGATAAGAAGAGCTGGGAGCTGAAGTTTAGCAACTTCCATGCTCCTGACTGTAAGACCAGTTGATAATTAATGCATCATATCCTGTTTCCCCCAAAATAAGACATCCCCTGATAATAAGCCCAATTGGGCTTTTGAGCGCATGGCAATAAGGCCGAGCACTTATTTCAGAGTTCAAAAAAATATAAGACAGGGTC